AGCAATTTCCTTATTGATGATGACAAATTGGTTTATTGATGATAACAAAGACCAATTTGCCATCATGATGTTTATTGAGGACCAAATGTTAGGGAGAAGTGGATTTTCATGACCAAATTTTATTACAAATTACCTTAAACTACCTTATGCTTAGAGAAATTATCAAAGAATTTTTACAATTTTTATCAAACAATAACATCAATGTTTCATAAATGTATCGATGATTAACCTCAACTCTATCGCCGATTTTTGGACTTATAATCCGGCTAAGTTATTTTTAAACATTATATTTTTGGATATCAATATGAAGGAATTCATTAGCACAAATTATTATATGATACAATATTGTTTAAACGTTAAGCTAAAGACAATAATTATTAATGTTCATTCATTAACAAAATAAATTTCTTTAAAGAACAGACATCAAAAACAAAATCAATTAAATCTGTAGTAAATCAACATTTTCCAATTAATCAAAATGTTTTAAGTTTGTGTTTTGATTAATTTAAAAAAATTATCATATAATCTAAAAAATTTAGTTTTATTTCAATATTTAAAAATATTAATTTTATAATTTTAAAAATACTTTTCTATTTACGCTGTGGTTCTCGAATTTTATGTTTTTAACTTTCGAGGTTGGTAGCAAACCAATATCTGAAACTAGGATTTAATTGTAATTTTCATAAACCCAAAGGTGTCAAATGTACTTCAACATAACTCCACTCTATCTTATATTAGATGCTTTCTCCTTTCTCCTGTATGTTGTTAGTTTTAGGGTTTCAATTCTCTGTCAATTGCCAGCCATGGATAAGAGCCGATACTGCTGCTTCAGCTTACACGCGCAAATGGACACCTTTCATAGGTGCATTGTGTTCATGATTTGCAACAGTACTAGTTTATAGCCTGAATTGCTATAACAGGGAATTTAAAAAAAAAAAAAAATCAAATTCCATTCCGTGGTCGTGATTGCACTACTATTAGGTTGATGGTTGTGTTGTGCGAAGAGATGAGAAACAATGAAGTTGAGATAATGATTATAGCTTCAGTATCAAAATTGAATTAAATAGGTAGAAATCTAGTTGAGTGAATTCATAATAATAGATATTGTTGAGTTAGTTTGAGCATTTTTAAGCTTGATAAGGATATGAATGATGGGATCAGGTGAAGTATGGGTTGGAGGATAAATTTTTATTTATTGGTGTGGGAAAACAATTCTTTTCTTTCGAATTCAAGATCTCTCTGGATGTTAATGGAAATTTGTCTGTTTAGCTGAAAGAATTGACCTTGAAGTTGATTATTATTACGAGATGTTGCAATTAATAAATTGGTCATGATCTGCTGTGATGGCTAATTTAAACTAGGGGTGGTGTGGAGGATTGGAAACAATCAGCTTCTGGCTATAAAAAATCTTTATGGTTCTTTATGGTTGGTTTTCCTTATTGTGAAAGCAATAAAATCTTTATTGGATTCAGATTTGTTTCCTGAATTGAGGATTTTTTATAGCCTTTTGGAAGCGTACTAACCTCTTTGTTCATTCTGGTTTGTTTGAAGAGTGAAAATGGAAGAGAATGAGAATGAGACAGTGCCGGTGCTAGTGCCAGTGCCCCTGGGAGGAACTTCGTTGCCGTAGACACGACGAGAAAGGGTCGCATTTCAGAGGATGGAGAATTCACAAGAAGTCCCTTTGGCAGTATCACTTTCCCTACCAACACAATATTAAACTACAAAAGCAAGAAAATCCATGCAAAGAAGACGAAAATATGGCCATGTTGAATCAACAGGGACTCCTTTCATAGGTGGGACTGTGTTTGTTTAGCTCATAGAATTCTTATGGATGCTGGTCCTGATTTCCCAGAAGCCATGATACTATTGAGTTGCTCTAGCTTTTCCAAGTTTGGCTTCTATGGGCCACTCATTCTTTTCGCAAGGCATGTTTCTTCGTTTCCTCTTACATTTGTTTTATGTATGCAATTTATTTGTTCTTACATCTTGTATATGAATTTGAGTGTCTTTCTAAGGGGCAAGTGCTTGTACTGAAATTTTACTTTACTGCCTCCACTCCTCTTATGATGCAGATTCACAGTTTCTTTGCCATCAAACCTCCCACCCAACACAGGTGAATCAACAAAATCAAGTAGATGGTAGAAGTTAGAGAAAATCAAATTCCATCAAAAGTCCTATACTTGTTGTTTGCAGCGCGCATAGTCAATCCTTGTGGGAATTTAAAAAAATCAAATTCCATTCTGTGTTCATGATTTGCACTACTATTAAGCTGATGGTTGTATGAAACACAATGGTTTGCGATTATGATCATGGCTTCAATACCAAAATTGAAAGGTTTTTGGATATTTGGTATTATGTAAGTAGAAAAATAGTTGACTGAATTCATAATAATAGATATTGTTGAGTTAGTTTGAGCATTTTTAAGATTGATAAGGATATGAATGATGGGATCGGGTGAATTCTCTGGATGTTAATGGAAACTTGTTTATTTAGCTGAAAGAATTGACCTTGAAGTTGATTATTATTATGAGACGTTGCAATCATTAAATTGGTCATGATTTGCAGCGATAGCTAATTTAAACTGCCTGTGGTAGTGTAGAGGATTGGAAACAATCGGCTTGTGGTTATGAAAAATAGCCGAAGTGATATCAATATAGACTTCAATTGTGAGGTCATCGGTTCTGGTATATCAATTATAGATATTAATATATCAATTGTGAATAGATCACTTATGGTGTAAAGTGCCAATTGGAAGCAGATATTGATTGTAATTATCAGCTATATGAGATATTTTCTCCACCAGCTTGTTGGCTACTTGGCTCTTCTCTGAATGTAAGTGTTCCTTCTGCCCTCTTCAGTTTTAAGTTCTAATTGAATTAATTGCATTTTAGCACTTGTTGTTTTTTATCCATAATATATATGGTCCCTATCTGTATAAAAGAAAAGAATACTAAGCAATTTGTTGGTGCATTCTTTTATAGTTTGTTTTCCTTATTCTGAAAGCAATAGCATCTTTATTGGATTCAGATTTCTTTCCTAAATTGAGGATTTTTAAAGGCAGTTTGGAAGCATAAGATTCTTAAATAAAAAAACGTTGGATGAAATAGTTACAGTACTCTTGTTTGCTACTCGAAGAGCCTTTGTCCCCAATGTGATAGTAGTTTTCTAAAAATGCTGTATTGTGTTTAAAGGGATGATGGTAGCAAATCAGCATAAGGCCGAGAGTTGACAAGCTGTGATCTGCAAGTGCTGCCACAAGCAGTTCTAGTCCAAACCGGGATCAACCTGGCCATGCAGACAAAGTCCGGTGGCAATTGCTTTAATTTAATTTTTGGATTAACTCTTTGATGTTGGATTGTTATTATTTTACTCATAGAGTTCTTCTAGATGCTGGCCATGATAATATTGAGCCGCTCTCAGCTTTTCCAAATTTTGCTATTGACCGTCCATCATTGGTTTCACGAGGCAAGCTTCTTTTTCCTCTTTCCACTTGTTTTGTCTTGTCTGTAATTGGTCTAGTCTGATGTTCTTATAAGGATTTTATTCTTTCTAATTTGTTTTTGATTCGGCATAGATTTGGTTTACTCTGATTTTATGTATCTACTCTTTTGGTTCAGGTATATTTTAAGTGATCATTTTGTCTCCTTGGAAACCTTGACTAAAGGGTTGTCCTCAGTCTATGCCATTAAACCTACATATTTTTCCTAGGAGTGGCTGCGCCGTCAAACAGTGAGTCACTGCTAAAGTGAAGGAATTGAAAAATTAAATTTCATCAAATCTGAAATTTTCTCGCGTTATGTAGAGGGGTGGAAAAAATTAGGATTGCAATTATGACGATCTTGGAAAAGATGGAAACAGTAAATGATTTCGTGATGAACTTGGTTAATGTGAATTTAAATTGCATTGTGTAGTAGTGTTGGGATGAGATGGAGTAGATATATGTTATAAGAACTATCATGGCAAAAGAAACTGTAATTTTTAAGCTTGTGATGGATATTTGGTATATGTGCATTAGTAAAATAGGTTTTTAGTGAATTCTAATAATTGATGTTGTTGAGTTTGTTTGAGCAATTTTAAGCTTGATGAGGAGAGGAATGATTGGATCAGGTGAAGTATGGATTGAAAGACTTACCTTGAAGTAGATCATGATTATCACATAGGGGATGTTGCAATGTTTAATGCAAGCTGACTCTACTGAGTGGCTCTCATCTTTTCTTGGTATTCTTAGATCCTGTAGTCTCGACAAGCTTGTTGGCTCTAGTGAGATTCAAGAGTTATGAAAGTTTAATGCTATTGAAAGTTCTCTAATTTAGGGGATAATTTGAAACTGTGTGATCTCTCCTCTTAGCCCTGAATTGGTTAGGAGAGTTGTTATTTGGCTGAAATTTGGCATTATCTTAAGATGTTTTGTTTAGCATAATATTTTCTCTGCCCATTCTTTGCTGGATGACTACTGGAAAATCATTTATCTATCAGTATAATGACTTCAGAATCCTACTAAAGTATGTTTGTACAAATCTAACAACTCGGAGTTGATTATAAGACTTAAATTCAAATAATGAATATGTTATAGGGTTATTATGTGCTATGGCTCAGGGAATTTGTCCTAATCATGAAAAAAAGTAATTTTCTAAACTTAAAAGAAATAATTCCTATAGAATGTGAACTTTGTTTTAATTTTTAATATACCATTTAAGAACTGTTCATGTCGATGAATTTGGAATATATATATATATATATATATTAGTTTATTTGTTTTGCATTAATTCTGGAATTGAATAAATTAATAAATATTAAGAAGATATTTTTAATAATCTTTTATTTTCAAGAAAATATTAATAAATGCTATAGTTGCAAAGTCGAGTGTTAGGCTGACTCATGCTTTAGGCCCACATTTGCAAGGAGCAAACAAAAGGCAATTGCAAAGGGCCAATAAAAAAAGATTAAATTAAAGGAATTAAAAATGTGAAAAAGATTTAAAAGAATTAGAACTTGCATTACTCAAAAATTAATGTGAAAGAGGCGCTGCAAAGTAATGCCTTAAAAAATACACGAAAATGAAATTGAATTTAGTTTCTTAAGATTTGAGACGTTTTTTGATTTCTGAAAGTGCATTCCAGGATGCTCAGCTCATGAAGATGAACTTCGTAAACTACAGACTTCCAACTCAGGTTTCTCAGAACACTTATCCACAGTAAATTACTACTTTCTGAGCAATAATATCAATAGTTCCCCTGTCACCTGTTGAAGAAAACAGAACCTAAACTTAGCACACGATGTCGATTGATAAATTAACTGAAAATAAATAAAGGATATATGGTTAGGAATCTATTCTGGAAAAGTAAAAGTTGATCACTCAGTAGTCAATTCACAAACTTGCAGTTTCTTAATAACCTTTAGAGATATGTCAAGATTTCCTGAGAGAGCCCTCAAAAGGGAAGTCTTCCCACAACCTGGGGAATCAAGCAGAAGAGTTATCCTGAAATAATAACAGAGGAGACAATGAGGTAAATAGAAATACAGGATTTAGCAAGAAAGTATTATTTGACTTCTAGAATCACACTCCAAAGGAAAATGAGTTAAAAACATAATTGTATATTATACGATTGACAAAAGTATCCTAAGGAATGAAATCAATTAACCTTTTGGAGTGATATGGCTCCATGGTTGTGACCGAGTCCAGCAGGTTTACAGATTACATCTACAATGTAGTCTCCCATATCTTTTAGTGTTTGCCAGCAACCTGTAGAAAGACATATCCCAATCAAAAGAAGATTTGTACAAAACGCTTATTTCCCAAGTCATAGTGGAGGAGGAGCAGAGAAATGAATAGATACAATAGCAGGAATAGAGAAAATATCAAAACCAAAACTTAATGGAAAGTGATACCTGTGTATGTGTTCCTTGCTTCAAGCAGTAGCCAAGAAACAAGCTTTCAATTTGATTTTCTCAATGATTGATGATAATGAAGTCAACATTTATACATAGCAAGATTTCCTAATGACATTTGAAAAATGAAATGAGATGGTTTTGTAGACAAAGATAAAAGTAAATCTGTTGTATAAAGAAGCAAATATATCATCATATCAGCAACTCAATTGTTTAATAGGAGATGGAAGAAAATTTAAATTGATGTTATTGGAGAATGAAAGTCTAAGAGCATGCACAATAACTAATTGAAAAAAATACAACAAAATTTCAGTTGTTGGTTTTGGCCAAAGAGGCAGGAAAATTATCCATGCTATCCCTCAAAGACTTACGAATCATTCGAAGTTCAGCATAGCCTCGGTTTGATTTCAAGAAGCTTCCTGTGGCTAAATGAGCTAAGAATGTCCGTGGCAATTTTTTGGCCATAGTGGGCAATGTCATGAACCAGTTATGTTTTCTCTCCCAAGGTAAGTAGGTTGCATTTGTCAGGATCAAGTACAATTCCCAAAAACAGCAAATCAATAGATTAGTTGCCAAAGTTTGAACTTCAGACACCTATGAGCAGATATAGTAAAGTTGATCATTGCCTAAATAATGTTTGTTCAAAAAACTCCATATAGGACAAAGGTGATAAAGTTCAAAAATCTCAACTACAAACTTTAATTAGCGACTGATAGCATGCAAGAAACATAAAAAGTATATAAGATTTAATTTTGATTTTAATATCCAAGTTCTTACAGAGATATTAAATGTGATGCTTTTATGATGCCCTTTTTTAAATCAATTCAATCCTTAGCTATCTGGGCGTGAGAATCTTATTGGATATGCTTGAAAGTTTTAAGTACTCTTTCATAGGATCCTGAAGCATGAGATTCAAGAGTTATGAAAGTTTAATGCTGTTGCAAGTTCTCTAATTTAGGGGATAATTTGAAACTCTATGATCTCTCCTCTTAGCCGTGAATTGATTAGGAGAGTTGTTATTTTTAATAATATTTTATTTTCAAGAAAATAATAATAATATATATGAAAGAGAAATGCTATAATTGCATAGTCAAGTGTTAGGCTGACTCATGCTTTAGGGCCACATTTGCAATAAGCAAACAAAAGGCAATTGTAAAGAGCCTATAAAAAAAGATTAAATTAAAGGAATTAAAAAAGTGAAAAAGAATCTGAACTTGCGTTACCGAAAATGAAGAAGATGAAAAAGACATTGATGCAACCTGTGGAATCAAGCAGAAGAGTTATCCTGAAATAATAAAAGAGGAGACAATGAGGTAAATAGAAATACAGGAATTAGCAAGAAAGTATTATTTGACTTCTAGAATTACACTCCAAAGGAAAATGAGTTAAATACAGAATTGTATATTATACGATTGACAGAAGTATCCTAAGGAATGAAATCAATTAACCTTTTGGACTGATATGGCTCCATGATTGTGACTGAGTCCAGCAAGTTTACAGATTACATCTACAATGTAGTCTCCGATATCTTTTAGTGTTTGCCAGCAACCTATAGAAAAACATATCCCAATCAAAAGAAGATTTGTACAAACCCTTATTTCCCAAGTCATAGTGGAGGAGGAGCAGAGATAAAGAATAGATAGAATAGTAGGAATAGAGAAAATATCAAAACCAAAACTTCATGGAAAATGATACCTGTGTATGTGTTCCTTGCTTCAAGCAGTAGCCAAGAAACAAGCTGTCAACTTGATTTTCTTAGCGATTGAGGATAACAAAGTCAACATTTATACATAGCAAGATTTCCTAATGACATTTAAAAAATGAAATGAGATGTTTTTGTAGACAAAGATAAAACTAAATCTGTTGTATAAAGAAGCAAATATATCATCAGATCAGCAACTCAATTGTTTAATAGTAGATGGAAGAAAATTTAAATTGATGTTATTGGAGAATGAAAGTCTAAGAGCATGCACAATAACTAATTGAAAAAATACAACAAAATTTCAGTTGTTGGGTTTTGGCCAAAGAGGCAGGAAAATTATCCATGCTATCCCTTAAAGACTTATGAAAAACTAACTTTAGTAAAGCCTACCATTCGAAGTTCAGCATAGCCTCTGTTCGATTTCAAGAAGCTTCCAGTGGCTGAATGAGCTAAGAATCTCTGTGGCAATTGCCATATTGGGCAATGTCATAAACCAGTTATGTTTTCTCTCCTAAGGGAAGTAGCCTGCATTTGTCAGGATCAAGTAAAATTCCTAAAAACAACAAATCAATATATTAGTGGCCAAAGATTGAACTTCCGACACCTATGAGCACATATAGTAAAGTTGAGCATTGACTAAATAATGTTTGCTCAAAAGAATCCATATAGGACAAAGGTGATAAAGTTCAAAAATCTCTTGAACTACAAACTTCAATTAGTGACTGACGGCATGCAAGAAACATAAAAAAGTAGCAATCAGAACCCCAAAGACTTACACTAAGGTGACTAAGAGACAAGTATATTAATTGATTTACATATTTCTTCTGAATCATGCACTTGCAGCATATTCAAGCACATCATTTGTCCGTTTTAACATTCTCACAATCATGTGTACCCTGAAGTTATGATTTTCTCACTTCTATCCTCCATGTTTTTATCTATTGTACTCTATTAATTTTTAAACAATTTTTACCATAGCTCCTTATTGCCACTGTTGAGATGTATGACCGAAATGAAGAAACGAGCAGTACAAAATTACTTGTTGGCAATAACCCAAAATTTATAATCATGCCATTGCTCCCCTTCAACATATTTATCCCCACTACACTTAGTAGTAAATTCACAAACTTGCAGTTCCCTAATAACCAAAAACTCTGCTTTGCTAGTCATGGTCAGCCTCACCCAGTCATAAATTCATACAGTAGTCAATTCCAACAGTTAATGAAGATGCTTAAACTTTAATGTTACATACCCTAAAGGGTTAAAGGGTTTCACTTTTACTACCACTACACATCAAAGCCCCAAACCATGCAGAACCCAAAAAACTTTAAACAGTTGTGCGTTGTATACGAATATAAGATCAGCATCTAACATGCATTTCCATTTCTAGCTTTCTGAACCACAAAAGCTTTGACCAAAATGAAAAACAACCCAAAAAGAAGAAAAAAAAAGGCTTTAAAAAGAAACAAGACTACAGGAGAAGGACAAGCTTTAAAAATACATTGAGTCCCTACTCGAACACCTCTCCCCTACTGAGCTCATAACTGACTAAGCCTAAAAACCGATAAAAACAAGACTTTTATAATCCATCATTACATCAACAAGCCTTATATATAAGAATAGTCTTAAAACAAAGTCCATCCAAATCATCCTATCATTAAGAGAATAGTCTCATGAGTTTCAATCATGTAACCTTAACATGCAACGCACACATGCTTAAAATTCTACCGTTATCAATTTCAATAAAACCACCAGCTACATTGTCTAATTATTGGTATAATTATTTTTATAGCAAACTATTAGAACTTATAATATATTCAAAAGCAAATTTCTAAAAATATAAACAATTTATTTCCATATCAATACACTATCAAATTATTATTCGCACAAGTTGAAATACAAATTAAACCGTACCAGATTTCTTTCCGGATAAATATATTCAGATGCCATTCAATGTATTTGCACTTCATGATCCTTGTTGAACCTCTACTAAATCGGATCAAGTAATCTAGCAACAAAACACAAAAATCACATTTTTCAAACAACGTTTCAAGCAAATCACGCTTTAAGACTACAACTTCACAGATGAACACATTGTGTTCACCTGTCGCCTAGAACCCAAACAAATACGACTTCAGTTTTCAACTTCTAATCTGCTTGAAGCATAATCAACATCATTTGGCACTAATTTCGCCTATCATTGCGAACAGATTTGGGAACAACTTGGCAATCTCATCTGTGAAATTAAAAAATTAAAAAATATTCATACATATGTTCTATTAGGTTTAATAATCAGTATTTGAAACGATGAAAATGACCTAAATTTCCGGCGGATGAACTGGTGAGACCGTCGACGATTTTGAAAGGGTTACAGAAAACGGAAGGGAGAGGACGCGCGTGGTCCATAGGACTCGTTTGAAATTGCCTGTAAACTGAAGCCACGCAGTCGGATACTAGAGAGGATTTGACTACCGCCGGATGTCGCCGTTAGCCACCAACGAAAGAGACACCTAACTCTGTCACGGAGCAGCTGTTATCACCACTGTTAGATTTCTCCATATAAATTTATATGATTGGATAATATCACTAAAGTCCCTCATTTGCTTAAATCATTTTAATTTTGTCCTGACAGAATATTTAAATAGTCCTTTAAATGTTTAATTAATATCATACTTAACCTTATAATTTCTTAAAATATATACCCCAAAATCTATAAAATCAATTGAATTTCCGAAGTCAACTTATATATATTCTTTTGATTTATGTTTAAAAAGAAATGCCAACTCATCTAATACCACACGCTTACCACACGACTTTGCTGTGTGCTGATGAACATTACAATTTCCTTTCCTCTTCATCATCATCACCATCACCATCATCTTCTTCTTCTTCTTCCTCATCATCATCATCAATATCTTCATCATCATCATCATCATCATCTTCTTCTTCTTCTTCCTCATCATCATAATCTTCTTCTTCTTCCTCATCATCAAAAACTAGGAATCTTTTCCATAACTCTAAACAATCTATAATCATAAAGAACAAAAATTCAATAGTAAAATCAAAAACTGTGGAGAAAATGGATCATAACTTATCAATTAAACAAGAAAAAGAGGAATATCCTCAACTACTTTTATATATGCTTCAAAAACACGTATAAATTAACTTTGAGGAAACATAAATTATAATATTGTAGCTTCTCTATATATACTTATAGTCTATAATTGATTCACTTGGAAATTTTAATTAAAGACAAAATTAATAATAAAGACTACTGAGGATTGATTAGTATTAATTCAAGTGAAGGAAAACAAAAAAGTCTACTGTAAAAAAGTATATTGTTAAGTAAATAATTACTTACCATTTTTTAATTGTTATATGATCATATCCAATAATCTTTATCTTTTAACTCCTTTAACCTTTGCATGCTTAAGCCTCCTCTAGAGAAAGTCTTCATCTTGGAGCATTCACTCACATATAATCTTTCCAAATTTGAGAATTTTAAGGTGTAATTCCCATAACATAAACATGTAAGACTTTCTAAATTATTCAACGTCAACATATTCAATTTCTCAAAAACAATTTCACATTTCTCTATATTTCTCTCATTTGCTAATACTTCTATCATCATTTCACAGCTTCTATTGACAAGTATTCTAGTTTTGCAAAATTGTTGGGCAACACAACACTTTATGAATTCTTGTGTTGAGATTGTTGTCTTTAGGTCTTTCTTTTTTCCTCCTTCTTTTTTATGTAATAGCTCAAAATTGAAAAAAACTGGAGTCAGAAATCATCATATGGGTGCGAAAGAAAACGTATTGGAGATTGGACCCTCCAGTACTCTCATAGATGATGGACAAAGCAATTTTACATCTGATGATAGTTTCAAGGAATAAAAAATGGAGAGTGTGGGTGGAAGAATACGAAGACAAAAACTGAGCACAACCGCAATTTGAGAAAAATCATATGAGGATTTGCCAGGATTTGGTTCATGGATTTTGATTTGTGGAAGAAAGGCGTGATGTATTTTCTGTACTAGCTTCTGTAGTCAAATTTTGAACACTAAAGAAGGAAACTATGACATATATGTAATGGAAGAGTAAACAGCTTCCCAACTGTTCTGCGTTTAAGAGAATAGTTATAGTCTTTATGTTCATTTTATTCACATGGGGATCATGGATTCAGAAAATCAATAAATAAGGGAACAATAATCAAGAAACACCTTGATTTTTCCTCTATTTCAGGTTTCTTATCTTTATCCAATCAACTGGATATATAAGAGGCCTTGAATGCTGAAGCTGCATGTAAAGATCATACCCATGTCTGTCTTGCACTCTGGAAACTAGGAAAGGCCAATAGGGCCCCGGTTTGTTTCAATCAAAGGTTGACTGGAATGGTAGAGTGCTCCTGGTAAGGAAATAAAAACGGCCAATTAAGCCCGAGGATCATGCATCGTATTCCATTGAGTTGACTGTTGAGTAGGTAAAAATAACTCTTTCATTTCAGATTAGGTTATTTTAGAATGTAAATTAAGACATTAATATATATATAGGAAATTTTGGGAGGTGAGGTGCCCCGAAAGTTTCAATGGGAGTTTAAGGTACCTCGATTCTTTCTCTAAGTCTAATTTTTTGAGGGTAGGTAGAAAAATTAGAGATGTTAGCTGCAAATGAGGTGGTAGAGAAGGTGAGTGATTTGGCATTTTCAAAACTATGAAGAGAGATAGGTAATGACTCTGATGATTCAGACCATGCCCTATCTCTTCATCTTGAAATATTAGGCCCAATCAATGATTTTTGGGAAAAGATAAAAAAAGAACAAGATGAGAGAAAGGCAGGCTTTAAAGTTTAAACAGAGATTCATTTTAAGTTCAGTTTTCATCACACACACGCACATACACATATATGTGTGTATTATCAACCATTAATTAAAAATAAATGGTTAGAATTTAAATTATTATAAATTAATAAATATTTATTAAATTATATTTTAAATATATAAAATTTAACATAAATGAAATTTTTTATTTTATAAATCTCAAAAAATGGTTTATTATTTTAATAAATTTTTATGAGATTAATGTTATTAACTGTAAAAGAAATATAAATATTGAATAAGCTTAGATGGGAGTGTTGAATAAATCTTCAATTTTGAAACTGATGTGCAAAGGAGATATAGAAAATGCATCCCAGAAATATCGATCACATTGTTGATGCAGTAACCAACCTTGGATTTGTTCTGAAAATAATAAGTATAATCACATGTCATTTACTATAAGAAAAACAGAAAAAGAGACATTTCTACGATTTTTAATTATTTTTCATCAAATAAATGGAATGAATATGTATAATGGTCTCAAATTTAAGTGGATATGAACGGAAGTTTACATATTTTATTTAACACATTTCAATAAAATTTGTTGATCGATTATGTGTGATTTTAATTCCTAAAAACATCAATCTAAGCTTTATTTTAATAACGTCTTTAATGGCTCTAGTATGATTATTTTTAATAATCGAACGTGTTTAGTGGATTGTAAAATCATATTCTTATAAAATTGTCCAAAACGTGTTTTATGGTTTGTAAAAAATGAAATCTTATATAATTGTTCTATCTGCATATTTATTCTCCATCCATATCTCTTTAGTTACTGTTCATGAGACCTAATGTTTTCATTACTGAGAATAATTGATTGACGATGAAGACTACTCACCGTGTGAGAAGATTTATACTTTATTAAAGTAAGAAAAAGTTTGATAAAGTAAAATTGACCATTGACCTCATTGCAGGGACTCCTAGCTCAAAAGAAGATAAAATTTACAAAAGAGCTTGACTTCAACAATTACAAGGATTAAGAAACCTAATGAATTTTTAAGATGAATTCAAAATGCTTTAATAATGTTCATATTTCATAATCTCCTCTTTGTTTTGTTAAAACAATTGTAATATTGCACAGACTATTATATTTTGAGATATCAGACTGCATTTCAAAAGTTTCAGATTGACTCTATCATAATATCTCGGTGATCTTAATTTTTAATTCCAATTCCTCTAATTCTGTTTTGTCTTCTGAATGATGAAATTTTGAATTGTATTGAGGCTTCTAATCCTTTCTTCCTCCATCTTTTTGTCATTTCCAAACTTTTTGAGTACCAATATGTTTTTACGGCAAACTACGGGTGGCTACATATGATTTGCCCTTCTTTTAATTGAGCAAAACGTGTTTCATGGACGTTTGTGGAAGTATTTTCTTATATGATTGTCCTATATTGCCAACTTTATTGATTTTCCATTAACTTTTCTTTTTAAGTTTCAATTGAATTCCACTGGTACTAAACACTACTTCTAAACAGTGACAACAATTGTTACTGAAACCAATACAAAAAATGAAACAATTAATTAACTACAGAACCACCGTCATCTCAAATCATTGAGGAACTAATTCCTCAACCGTCGGTATTGGCCTTCTGCTAGCTCGAAAACATTCTGCCACTAAATACTCATCTATAAACTTGCATCTATGAACTTCTTTTTCCAACCTTAATTTCCCTTTTTAATTATTGCAGCACTCAATTATTACTTACTGTATTAACATGAATTATTGCCGCCTAAAAAATGTGCAATCAAGAGTAAACTAGTTTATGCCAGTACCCTGCCATGGGCCTATTCACTTTCTTATGGTATAAATGGTTACAACCAATCTAGGTCAGCCATCTTGGGATCCTCTTTCGGAAATACTGATATGAATACAATTTTTTTGTTGACATAACATGTTTTGAGAACAACAGGAAGCACTTTTAGTATCACAAACTTGATAAAAACCAGACCACTTCTCATACCAGAAGAAAGTGCAAATGGAATATGAAATTTATTGACTAACTTTTCTACATTGTACAATAATAATAGATTGTGTATATATTACTTTTTTATTGGAAGTGGTTCCATATAGTTGAGGCATTAATAACATTTTGGGTTATTTTTGCCCAGCGCAACTCATTTTCATAGATTCTATCAATCTTTAGGATATAGAGACGAAGAAAAAAGGTTCTATGAAAATCCTTTGTTTTAGACTTTGGGGGAAAATCTGGGAAGTAGTAATAGAAGATTTTGGCCTTGGTCATATAAAACTTTCAAGACACTCACTTTCCAGTGCTTAAAATTGGAATAACATTGTAGATTTTGGATGGCTTTGATACTTACAGAGTAGCCATCAAGGCATTTGATTTGATTGATTAGTTCTGGAACTGGGAACATATACTGGCTTACCCAAGAAGGAAAATATAGTCTCCAGTTACGTTGTCAATATTGCTTGACCTTTGCAGCGATACCAGTTGGGGCAAGATATCAACTGCTTCAAGATAGATTGAGAAACTCCACAAAATCTGTCGTGGGTTTTCCATAAGAAGTCAAATCTATTTACTAAGTAAAAAGGTAATTTACTATGGAACTGTAGTTGAATCTTACTTTCAAGCAAAATAGATTCATAACAAAACCCGATTTAAAGG